ATATAAATGTACATTTACCTCGACGCTATAACTAGATGTCGAGCAATTATACAAATAAGGTAATGCTTGCTTGCTCTGATCGTGTATTCTAGCAGTAAGTAAGGTAACAGCGCACGTGCGACAGATAAGGAAAGCGAAGGAACCAAAGAAGTAAGCCTCGCTCAATACACTGTTTTTATCTGATATGCTTTAAAACAAAAATAGAATAAAAGTTAATGCATAATCGATTTGATTTGAATAAATCAATCGTATGTAAGAAAATAAAATAATTTTCTAGCAATTCTTTAATTTCTTTAGTTCGTTTTTCGAATATTTTTTATCTTTAAAAAAAATTTCCTTCTCCAGTTTGTTTTCTAGGATCAAATTTAATGAATGATAGATTCAAATTTAGGAAACAAAATCAATCATAAACGCCAATTTAATATTATATATATTTTTATGTAATATACATACGATAAGCCGTTTAATAATTGAAGACAAATGAAGTACACATTGTTTGCAAAAGATAAAAGGATTATTGGAGAAATGTGATCGTCCACTTTTTTCACAATGCAACTCAATATCGCATAATCCTCCCGAAGTTCGCGCCAATTAAACGTCGTTTGACATTTCGTCATCGTAATTGCTAATTTCTTGTTCAAAGATTTATATCTTTCAGCCAAACCAGTAGCAACCTGAAAATAATAAATAACAAATATGAATTAATTAAAGATTGAATATAATATTATCAACGTGAACATAATTATTTAAATTACTCTTTGTATAATAAATTGTAAAATGCATAATTATTCGATTATTCGACTTACAAGCATGATGAATAAATCTGTAAAGTTCCATGTGAAAGTCGCTATTTTGCTAACGACAAAGACATACAAACCGTAAACAAAGTTATAATTCACTGAAAACAAACATACAACTTTAATTAAATAGCGATATCGTTTCTACGATATTCGATAATTTGATTTCATTTTTTTATTAAATAAAGTGACTCACATGTGTCGAAAATGAACGAATGGGATCGTAATGTGTATATCTCCAAGAAGTTGTGAAACGTCGAATTTGATTCGTTCCACTCGTAACCATCGATATTGTTAAATATACTTAGAACATGTTCTATAAGAGACAAAACAAGCACCATTGTGCTTATAATAAAAAATTTCCATCGAAGCCGTGTGGGTTCTGTCGAATTGCTGAGGATCAGGAAGATGAATGAAACATTTATTTTATATTTTATCACGTATTATTTTTGAGAAATTTGAGTCAACAAATTTCTTTCTCTGCCTGGACAAAATAATAAATAAGCATTTAAAAAGAAAAAAAACGATATGTCTCTCTTTTCAAGGAAAAAACTTGCAATCAAGGATATGATTATCTGGAAATCTCGCGGTATCGCATTTGCACGCTAAAATAAACTAATTATCGTAGTTTCCTGGACGATTAATAGGTATCTAAAGCTCGCGTGTACAGCAGATAAGCGGCAAACAACACGATTAACAAACTCACGAATAGTGGCAAGCTTTTGCATATACGAACGCGATATCGACCTGTCTATATATCGTTCCATAGCTCTCCATTCGTACTGAAGAGATACCCAGCGTGAAGATAATGAGAAAAATAAGATGCTGCCCACCAGACTGTTCCCATAGAACACCGCACCGACTGTCGCTGCACCTAAGCCACCTGGGATGAAACATGATAGGTTATCCTGTTTCGTTTTTATCACATTAATCCATCACAAAGAAAATAAGAGATGTCACGTTTTAACATAATGTCTCACGCAATTATCATCGATTCCAGATTCAAAAGTCAATATTATTTTATATACACGTATTATGTGCATTGTTTCGAAATTTAGAAAATTAATAAAGAAAAAATATTTTATCATTTAAATAGCGCAACACTTTGACATTAGAATAACAATTTATTTTGATAAAAAATTGTGATAGAATAGAAGTTTCATAGAATATCTCAAAAATGTTGGAACATCCGTAAACTGAAAATATCTAGACAACAGGTAGCCAACTGTCGCAGCTCGACTAGGCTACGTGCTCTGTGATTGGCCAATATTTTCTGTTAATAA